TTGTTGTGGTAGTGGTGGTGGTGGTGGTGGAAGTAGTAGTAGTAGTAGTAGTAGTAGTAGTAGCAGCAGCAGCAGTAGTAGTAGTAGTAGTGGTGGTGGTGGTGGTGGTGGTGGTGGTGGGAATAGTAGTAGTAGTAGTAGTAGTAGTAGAAGTAGAAGTAGTAGTGGTAGTGGTAGTGGTAGTGGTAGTCGTAGTGTGGGGGTGTTGTGGTGGTGACGTGGATGGGGTGGGTGGGTGGGTGGGTGGGGTGGGTGGGTGGTTGGTGGGGGGCTTTCTGTATCAGGGTCTGGAAAATGCAGAGCTCTCGGTAAAGAGGTGGAAACAAATACATGGTTGGGGGGCTTTCTTTATCGGGGTCTGGAAAATGCAGAGCTCTCGGTAAAGAGGGGTGGAAACAAATACCTGGCCTACGGTGCTCAGATCACTGTCCCAAGATCACTTGATGCTGGGCACCTCAAAACAACACCCAAAGCCTGAAGTACAAGAGAATCCTACAAGAATCTTAACACTATGGAGAGAGCCCTGCAACCAGGGTGCCGCATCAATGCCATTGATGCCACATGTTGCCACGTTGTTGGTCCGCGAGGTGCCAGGGACTCTCAGAGAGTGGTCTTACTGAGGAGAGGGCACGTCGCTTTTTGACACAGCTGAGGCTTGCAAAAAGTGCTCCCCAGGGCACAGCCAGCGTAGGATCACATGTTGCCAAAGCTTGTGCAAAGTACTTGCTGACATCTTGCCTCACCGAAGCTTCTGTTATGCGGCGTGTTTGCTCAAGCTCCGTTCAGAATGATCAGATAGCTTCCCTTGTGTATGCATGGGGGCAGTCTTCACCTTCATGCTCCCTGCTAGACATGAGGAAGCGCCTTGGTGAGATGCTGGTGGACACCGACCAAGCTGTAGACTGCTTGCCACAGAAGCCATCAAGACGCAAAGGCCTGAGAAGCATCTTTTTCTCTGGCCTTAATGACACGGTTGGCGTGGGGGGATTGAAGATATCATTTTTGGCAACCGTCAGGCTTCTGCCGGGCAGGACGCGCCCGGCGATGCAGCTGCTGTGCAGTTGATTCTGCAACACTGGCGTTCCTTGGTGGTAAAGAAAGGCATTGGTCGCTTGCTTTCTTGCCAGCATTGCCAGCCATAGGGCGCCATAAGGCTGGTCTGCAGTGCTGACAGCCAGCAACCTTCAGAAAGGCATGAGATCCTTGGTGTGAAGCTTTAGCAAGGTTCTGAGGGGTATTAGCTCAAAACAACGACACCCAATTTAGCGCCTGTCGGTCTCTTGCATGCGAGGCGTTTTGAGAGCAACGATGGAGGGTCCTTTAAGACTCGTGGCCCATGCCCCCAGCTGACCAGCATCTTCAATCACACGTCTGCGCAGAATCTTGCAGTTCTACTGCTAGAGTCCAGTCCAGTCAGTGGCACTTTACAAACAACGCAATTTACTTGTTCCGCCTTGCAGTTCTGATGCAAATCCAGATTGAAGCCCCAACGCTAACACAGGCTCTGCAGGTGTTTGATCTAGTACGGGACAGGCAGAGTACAACAGGGCAGCCCAAACCAAGGCCATTTTTGTCACACAGATGCACGTCCTGGAGCGGAATGCCGTTTGCTCTTTAACGGCAAATAGCCATGGACATGGGCTTGCCTGATGGGAATTGGACCCTGAGGTGGATGTGCATTGTCACCTTGAAGAGGTGGCGCAAGAAATGCGACGGCGCCACGCAGTGCCGAGCTTGGCTAAGAGCCTTGGCAGCGCTGTGATGGGTTTTCATGTCCACATGTAACACATGGGATGTCATGCGATGTTTGGACAGGGAGCCAGCAGATCTTACGGAGGAGGAGCTGGCCTTGTGGACAGCTGTCGGGTGGCTGCAGGCCGAGACGCCGGAGCCATCTCAAGGCCACGGCAACACAACATTCTTTCAAATCGGCTCAATCCAAATTCTGCATTGAGAACATGCAGGACAGCACTGGTCGCAAACATGGGACCAACTCTCGGAACGCCAGAGGCTGCGACAAGCCCATGAATTGGTAGCGGATAGGAAAAGCCCATGGTAGGAAAGCGGCTTCATCCTTAGGCTACACGGAGACAGGCCGTGGGCTAACAACATCAAGTGACCTGTGGCCACTGTGGCTCCTTTTGTCCTTGGACATGTTGGTCCAGGCTGGAACCGAAACAAGTGGCTTTTGCCAAAGCTGTCATGGGAAGTCTGCGACTGAGCAAGGGATTTCATAAAGCGCAGAACATTACACAAAATCTGCTGCGCAGGAACTGGATGTCACAACTCAGCAAGCGCTTGCGGAGTGCAGCTCAGATTTCTCACGCATGCTGAAACCATTGCAGAGTTGCAGGCTTTGCTGCTATGCCAGCCAAGGTCTTGGGTGAAACTCAGAAATCATGGGACGGCTGGAGTACCCAGCCAGGTGCACTGCATGCCTCAGGCCGGTCCTGTGTCCCCATGTGCCCGACACGTAAAGGCCTACTGCATGATGTTCCATTTGTCAACAGGGGCGAGGCAGCAGAAACTTGCAGTCTGGTTCCTGGCCTTTGCACTGAGTTTAAGGTGTTGGACTCGTTGAGATAGTGAACTTCAGAGCTGCTGTTTCCCCCACGCCTTCAGCAGATTTAGACAGAAGCGTGGATGCGGCCAAGTATCTCATTTACGCAGAGATGAGGGTGTAAGTCCCTGGCTCTTGACTTGAGGGGCCCGCGCATTGATTTGAAAAGGGTTTTGGTCATCATCTGAAAGCCGCAACAGGCACGCACCTCGTAGGTCAGCCACAGAACATGCAAAGGACAAGCATTTGTGCCATGGCCATATTCTATTGCTTGGAGGCAATGCTCGCCATCTTGCAAGGATGCAAGCATTCAATGAGATGAGATCATGGAGTGAGCTCACTCCAAAGCAGAGGCTGGTCAGCTTGTGAAGCACGCATTTGCCTGGCAGGGTACTAACTCTGGATCCTGTGCATGTTCAAAGCAGGAGAGCTGCAGCAGCTTTGGGCTTCACCAAAGAAGTCTGGATGCACGAGGCCTGACCTTGTCCAAAGTCAAAGTGATGTGCTTTTGCAGGCAGGTCTCTGACGATAGGTGGGCTAGACATCATGCGCACATCATGCTGCAAATGCGTGCGTGACGTTCTAAAAACAACGGTTCTCTTCTTCACACCACCTTGGCACACGATGCCTCTGACGTAAAAGCCGCCGACCCGAAAGGGCCTTGGTATTCGCAAAGGCCTGATCCGCTGAGCCCTGCTGTTTGGCAGATTTGTCCGTCAAGGCATCCTTGGTTGTCGGAGTACCTTTCCGCACACTTGCTAGATGGTGTCCTCTTCTTGCTGTGGAGGAGGTCAACTTTCCAGTCTTGTGTGGGCAGACTGACCAAAGTCTCGTTTGCTCTGCGCCCCTTATCTCAGAAATGTCATTCAGACATGATCCCAGATCTCATGCTGGGCACATGTAGTAAATTGAGACAAACAAGGATACAGGCACTTCCTTTGTCTCAGCGCATATCCCTGACGTGGCTTACTTCAATAAGTCGCAATCACAACTGCACAGACCTCTTGAAGGCTGTTAGCACAAAGGCTTGCGTTGTAGCCAGATGAGTGCAAGCGTAAGTTCTCCAACACGCACCGGTTGAACATAAGCCGTCTTTGCTGAGCCAGTTCTGGCAGGAGATGGCAGATATCCATGGTGTGGTGGATCTGCATTTCGGGGAAGGCGGCAAGAGCAGCTTAAGCAATCATCGTTTGCAAGCGTGTCGTGAGGCTTCGAGGGATGTATCACACAAGGCTGTGATGCGGAATCCCTGCCGCTGGCAAAGCAGCTAGCTCTGAGCCACCCCCTGCTTCGAAGCTGCACTATCTGCACTGTGCGCTTCTCCCGCTGCGTCAAATGGTCGGCACCTTTCATCCAAGGGTTTTCGTGTCCTTCGGTTGCCACCCGAAGGCACATGGGCTGGCACAAATGTCATCGTGAGTGAGCCAATGAATGCAGTTTTCACGCTTTTTTCAAGAGTAGGGACAGATCGTGGTTTCTGAAGCTCTTGAGAACTGGGGCATTCAGACAATCAGCTTAAATGCCCAATAGCTGAACCTAAGAATGCCTTGTGGCCGTAGGATCTGCTCTGCAAGAGGCCTTTTGATTTGGGAAGCAGGATTTGGAGTCCAGCTGCTGGCGCTCTTGGCCATCATTGGGGGGGTCTGTTTCTCTGTGGTTGGCCTTCCTGTGCCCCTCAGAAATGCATCCGTAGCGCCGGGGGGAAGCTTCAAAAGCACGGGCGGACTTGAAACTGCCTTTACGGTGGCAAAACGGACCCCCAATTGTGCTGATGATGCTCACGCGCGCCGTCTACGCGAGCATCATCAGCACAATTTGGGGTCCATTTCACTACTCAAACCTGTTGCTGCCCTTGGCCCCTTAGCAAAACGTTCCTTTCTACTGGCCGAAGCCCCGCAAATGCATTGGCAGCGCCTCAAAGCCGCAGGCCAGCATCATCAGCATCATTGGGACTCCGCTTCTCCAATCTGAGGCCTTCCGGCATTCTTTCAAACCCGGAAAGTTTGCCGGCCCAGTTTTCCAAACCTTTGTGCTCATGATGTTTTTTGGGGGGTCCAGGTTTTGGGGACCCCACAAAATTCCTCAACAATCCGTACGTAGCCGGGGGGAAGCCTCCGGAACACATGTGAATTTTGAGCCTGTTTTGGGGGTCGGGTCCGGGAGGGCCTCTTCCAGAAACGGAGGTCCGATGATGCAGGTCGGCGGCACCATCGTCTGGAAGCCTGGGCTATGGCTTGCGGCAGCAACTCCAGGGTGTTGCCTTTAGGTTACTTTAGGGCTGGCGGCATGGGCCGGCCCTGCTGCATTTGTAGCCAACAGCAAGAGACAACGATGGCAAAAGTAACAGGACAAGAAGTAGCTTACAATAGAAGTAGGAGTGGTCGGAATGGGGGTGGTGAAGTGAATGACAGTATAGTAAAACAAAATGCTAATCTGCCTCTTGGCTGGATCAGGGGTGTTCTTTGGACCCAAAGGAAGGATTTCCTCGTTTTGAGGAATTTATGCGGGTTCCCAGAAGCTTGGCAAAAAGAGACACGGGACCCCAATGATGCTGATGACCAGCATCATTGAGGGTGCGTTCCCTATCGTGGAGTCCACATTTTTCTCGCCCCTACCCCAAGACGGGCCTTGGGGCTAGTTACTAGTTCTCAAAACAGTCCGTGCTCATGATGCTGATTTGGGGGTCCGAAACTCTCAAAAATGATGTTGGACGGGGGGTGGCCTCAACCCCTTCAAAGCTAAAGGTCTTGACGCGGCTCTGCCCTGGTGCATGGCGGCAAGGAGCAGGGTCAATTTGGAACGCGGACAAGAGCATCAATTTGGTGTCTTCCCTGGTTTTTATATGTTTCCATGTTTTGTACGTTGTCTATATGTTTCTATGGTTTCAGTTCTTAATACTGGTGTTTCCCAATATACCTGCCTAGGGTAGGACGCCCCGACAAAGCATCGTCCTTGTGAACCGGACTAGAAGGGGGTTCAGGTTAGTTTGGGGGGAGGGTGTATGTAGGTTCAGACCAATACATGGTATGCAGGATGTAGAGGGTCAAGAGATTCTGAAGAATCTCGGCAACAAGCTTACCAGCACCGGGCGGCTTTCACGCGTTCCATGCGTTGAGGGGGGACAGAACTCTTGTTCCCCTTCTGGTATTTGTATTCCCAAATGACGGTAATCGGTGTTCCAAAATGACGCCGATCGGTGTTCCAAAATGATGCCTCGCACTATGGCGGCAGGGCCGGATGCAAGGGGCCGCGCCCAGGGGCAGACAACGCAAGTAGTGTGAAGCCATGCAGGGCGTTGGTAAGAGGCCACAAACCACCAACCTGCGTAAAACCAGTGTCAAAAACACTCATAAAAACGGGCTAGCCTCCGAGAGACCAGTATCCCGACTGCCCCGGCCCTAAAATGCGTGGCCAAGCACCCCACAGACAGGCCAAACCCCCCAAATTGGACAAACGAGCTTCAATGACTGGCCAGCATCAACAGCATTGTCGGGACGGCGCAAAGAGCCGGCCACGCTACGCAAAGCAAAAGTTGGGCAAACACTTGGGCATAAAGGCTGATGATTGACAAGGCAGCCGTGTGGCAAACAGAAAACATGCAAACAAACACACATTTTGATTGACGTTTTGTATAGTCCGAGCTACAGCGAACATAGCCCGGCAGGTGCGTAGCTATGTCCAAATGGGTATGAACATGCACTGCGGTCGCCTGGGGGGTGCGCATTTCCACCGAAGACCGAAGACACATTTTTGAAGACACACGAGGTTTAGGACTGCGCCTCCCAAGAATGGTCTGCGCAGACAACGGGGCGTCAGCAGACACATGCTGGCGTCCGAAGACACTTTCTCAACTGAGACACTCCTCGGAGCGAAGACACGGGGGGCGGGGTCCGAAGACACTCAGAACATTACCTTGGCCAAAACACTTCACAGAGTGAAACCATGTGAGTGTCAGAAGATATCTGCCGAAGACAGGTCGGACGAAGGCACGTGTTGTCGCAAACACACAGGGGTGAGCGAAGACACTTCCCGAAGACCGGTCGGGCGAAGTTCCGTGTCGTCGCGAAGACACATGGGTGTGCGAAGACACTTCCTGAAGACAGGTTGGGCAAAGGCACATGTCGTCGCGAAGACACATGGATGTGCGAAGCCACTTCCCGAAGACACCTCGGGCAAAGGCACATGTCGTCGCGAAGACACATGGGTGCGTGAAGACGCTTCCCGAAGACAGGTCGGGCGAAGGCACAAGTCGTCGCGAAGACACTTTGGCGCACGAAGACACTTCCCCAACACAGAAGGGCGTCGTGTCAAGCCACGGGCGAAGGAAGTTAAATCCTGCAAATCCCAAATCGAAAAACCTAGGCGCGAGTCCTGAGCTCACTCGCGTAGGATTCCCGGTGGTTTCAAAAGAATGGCAAAGGCCTCGCGCAGCCGGACGCGGTGCCAGAATGTGGCGTCAGAAACTCATGTGGCGTCACGAAGACACGTGGCGTATCGTGGCGTGCGCTTGGCTCCGCCACCAAGCGTCAGACGCTCCAGCAGGGCCAAGGAACGTTGCTGTCGAGGGCATTTGTCAACTGGACGTGGCGTCAGAGCGCGGCGTCAATAGCTCACGTGGCTTCAGTGAGGCATGTGGCGTCGCCGGACGTGACATTGCAATGTGGCGTCAGGAGCCGTGGACCGAAGTGGCGTCACTTGACGCGGTGTTAGTGTGTGGCGTCAGGGGGTCAGGGGCCTCCCAGCACGTGTCTTCAGAATGTGTCTTCGGTCTTCGGTGGAAATATGCACCCCCACGACCAACCCCCTGGTCGAATGTTTCAAGAGTTCGAAAAAAATTGGAGGGCTGATATGGAAATCGAACCTCCACTTTCGTGCTGGACGTTGCATGAAGATTTCCTGAAGGTGAGCCGACGGTCCATGTCACACATATGCTGAACACAGGAGGTACAACCCCTTTGGTACTGTAGGGCGAATATATCCCAGATGTACAAACTTTGACAGTTTGTCAAGACATCCCCAGGCAAAAAATCTAAGCTTCCTGAACCACTTGATGGCTGCTTGGAAGTACGCAAATCTTCGGCAAAGATGTAGGCTTCAAACGGCTCATCGATCGCGCAATCTCCACGTAACACATATGAGGGCCGTTCTCCGTTGCCAAACTTGTTAACATTAATGGGAGGTCGTAAATGAGTGCTAAATGAACACTGACAAGCAGTTCGGTCATGAACGCCTTTTCATGTGCATGGTTAGTGGCCCATCTCAACTCAACTCTTTAGCCCAAGTCAGCAGGGCAGTAGCACAAGCGGAGCCGTATGGGCTCAGAATCGGACGGAAAAACTCGGCTGATTGTCAGACAGATGCGAACAGATCTCCTGCCTGCCGCAGTCGGCCTGGTTCTACAACGACGAGTTCGAGGCCACACTGATGTCATACATCAAATCCTGTGGCCGACATCTGAGAGTTGCTGTTGGCGCGGCATGATCGAGTCCCTGTGGATGACGTGATTTCACGAGGAAATAAAGTGGTTGGCTTCGGCGAATTTGGGTTGGAGTCTTTGCTGCGGTACTCGCGTGCAAAAGCAGCAACTTCCCGTCAAGGCATGCAGCCAAGGATTTCTCGCATCCATACTATGGCCCGGATGAGCAAAATCGACAGACGCAGCGTGAAGTTTTTGCAAGACAGTGCCTGGTTTCAGCAGCCAAGAAGTCGCCAGCCCTAAAGCTACGCACAGCTTCGCCCATAGACTCTACATGGGCTGAGGCTGCAGCTGGCAGTGAAGCTTTCTATGCCCTTGGTCATTCACAGCCGACATTCGCCCAGAAATTCCGGTCATCGCTTGCCTGCCTCAGCTACGCAGTATAGTTGAACCGAGGCGACGCTGACCAAGACACGTGTCGAGGATGCACATAGCATGGCTATCTGCTTCATGCGCGGAGAAATCTACATTGTCTGAGGTTGGAACTGATGCGAGCACGTGTTCCGAACACTCACAAGGTGTGAACAACTACTTGAGAGCTTCTTTGTGTCATCGTGCCGTCCGTAATGTCAGGTTCACATTCATTCGCATCGTGGGACTCTGTCATTTATGAAGCAGATGCTTGAAGAGTGGAGTCATGCGCACCGAGGCTAGAAGACAGTGTCTGTCCAAATTGTTGGGCTTTCAATTTACTGTCCCTTGCTTCCCTCAGTCAAAACCACCAAGGTACATCGGCATGCCAGGTATCTTGACAATGGATGAGGACGAACACGCGCAGGAACGGGCAAACATCTTTCACGTTGTCCAGACAGTCCGCGTGAAGTTGCACATTCCATGAGTCAGTTTGGCGGTCAGCGCTAGCCTCTAAAGACGGCACGACTCAGAGCGAAGTGGTGTCATGCCGCTATTGGTGCAAGCACGCCAAGAAAGTGTCCGATCTGAATGTGAAATTAAGCGTGCCATGCGTGGTGCCGTGGGCCACGTTTGCCCTGGGGATAAGTTTCAGAGGTTATGAGGCGCACTTGAATGAAGTCTCGTTTGTGACTCAGAAGACCTCTAATGCCGTGACTATAGCTAGGATGACAGCTGCTTGCTGTAGGTGATGCATTGCGTTCATGCCACCAGTTCCATTTCAAACTGCGGTGCTCCTATTCCGCTATAGTGGCAGCACAGGAAAGACCTGCTCTGTAGCCCTCCTGCAAGGAGCTTGTTCGGCAATGCCCACTGGCTGGTGCCTGAGTTTGATATGCCAAGCTGATGAGTTTTTCTGCGTCGTGACCTAATGAGATGGTGCTCTGCAGCCGTGTTTTCTCCCAAGCACCCTCGAGTCTCGAGTGTCACTCACCCGCTGAGAGCAGGCAGATGGTGCCTCGTCGTGGGTGGCCAATACTTGCATGTCAGGCAATGCTGAGATGGCGATGCACCCCAGGTTTTGGCGAGATGATGTGCAGAATCCCAGGTCAAAAAATGCTAGCCTTTGCGGCTCTCGCAGGTAGAAACACAGCATGCGCAGATCTCACTGGAGCTCATTCCCCACGTTCGCGGACAGTTTATTGAGCTTTCGTGGTCAACCTCCTTCACCGAGTCGGTGCGCTGCAGCACGAGGCCTTGCAACTTCAGTGACCACCTTGCAGCCGTTCAAGACACACCAGCGGGACTCAGTTGAGCTGGATGGCTGTGTTCCAACAAGCCACAGACATGCCCCTGTCTCACAATCCAGAGAGCGACGATCAACACTGTTGCAGCAACTGCAAGACCATGTCCTTGGAGCGCGCGAACTGCAAGAACTCATCCACGCAATCTGCGTCTCGCTAAGTGAAGCTCCTCATGACCGCCGGCTAGAACTCCAACAGATGCAGTTGCTGATGCAGAGCTGTGAAGAACTTGCCAATCTTCAAGCACAGATTGAGCTGGTGCAGTCAGCACGCGCAATCGCGCAGCTTGCGAAGAAGCGGCATCTCCACGGCTTGCTAGTTCAGACACGGATTCTGACGTATGTGGAAATTGGCCGGCTTGAGCCCAATCAGCTTTCCAGCCTTGCTTGGTGCCTAGCTGGAGCTCAAGCAGGAAGCGCCCCTCTGCTTGGCCAGATAGCAGAGGCTGGAGCGGCTCAGCTGGCATGTCTCTCAACTTTTAACGTTTCCAACATTGCCTGGGCATTGGCCAAGAGTGGCCAACAGCTGAGCTCACACAGCGTGCACTTTCTTGAGGCGGTGAGCTCTGAAGCAAGATTGGAAGAGTTTGCCGCAAGTGATTTGAGCGGCCTGTCGTGGGCGTTTGCCACGGCAGCTGTGCAGCCGCAGGCGCACTTCAGAGATAGATTGTTTGTTCAGATCTCAACTCGGCTTACAGAGCTGACGGACGTGCAGTTCGTTAACCTGTGTTGGGCAGTGGCCGGCATGAAGTTGACAGAAAATGCCATGCTGTCCAAGCTCGTTTCTACCATGCAGCACCGGATACAAGAGAGACCTGGCCGTTTCCAAGCCCGTGACATTTCGATCCTCGCCTGGGCATTTGCAAAGCTCCTGCAGAGTCATTGCCTTCCGGACATCCTGACAGCATCAGCCACAGTTGTGAAAGATTTTGGCCCGAAGAACTTGTGCAATTTGTTGTGGGCCGCTGCAAAGGCAAGCATGGGCTTGGAAAGTTCCAGGAGAACTCATGTGATTGAAAGCTTGGCCTTCCAAGCATTGAAGCAGTTCAAAGCGTTCAAGGCGCAGGACCTGGCAAGCTTTGCCTGGGCCATGGCCTCGCTCCAGGCCAAACTATGTGCCTTGCTGCCTGCAGCTGATGAAGCTGCCGCTAAAATGGACACCTTCAAGCCCAGAGACATGGCAAGCTTTGCATGGGCGCTGGCCTCTCTCCAGGCAAAGAAGCATCCCTTCATGGATGCTGCAGCCAGGCAATCCCAAATTGTTCTGTCTGAGTTTAGTGGCAGAGACGTGGCCAATCTCACCTGGGCTTTTGCGGTTGTCCACTCCGATAGACTGCTGGATGAGGTAAGTTGGTCTGGGCGAACTTGGTTCTCTTCTTTGGTGACCCAAGGCATAGCCAAAGGTCTTACCGTGCAGGGTCTGTCCAACCTGGCCTGGGCCTGCGCCACCGTTTCTGTTGATGACTCGCTTTGCCCAAGGCTTGCAGACGCCGCAGCCTCTTTTCAGCACCATCTGGGCCTTCGTGATGTGGCAAGTTTGGTTTGGGCAATTGTCATGCTGAAAGGGCAGGAAACACATTTGGACCGCCTGCTTGATTGCTCTTGTGAACTTCTACGGGAATGCAGACACCTGCATTCGCAGCACGATGTTGGGCACAACCGGCGAACAGAGGACGCATCATCGACCTTGACACTGATGTGGGCCGTTCGGTTTTCACAGATCTGGCGTCCAGGGCTAGTTGGGTGGGGCAGGGAGTGTCTTCAAGCGATTGGCCGCCAATTTGACAGATTGAGCAGTGAAAAAACATCGCTGGTGCAGGTGCCCGCCGAATGGGCAACGCTTTCCGGCAGAAGTGAAGAGATGTCAGAGCCATTTATTCTGCAGGATGCGGCAGATGTACTTGCAGTCTACAAGCCATGTGGGTGGGAAGTGGATCAGGGCAGCTCCGTTGGAGAAAAGAGGCTGTCCACATACGTCAGATCGCAAATTGTCACGCGCCGCTTCTGCATCTTGAAGGATGCGACACACCTGCACGGATTCTTGCACAGGCTTGATGTTCCAAGCTCAGGCTTGATCCTGCTAGCAAAGACCTATCAAGCTTTTTACTATCTCATGTCACAGTTGCACTTGAACGAACTGGTCAGGGACTATGTGGTGTGTTGTCACGGCTGGGTTTCACCCTCAACTCGACAAATCATGGCTCGAGTCCTCTGGTCAGCTTCAGCAGGCAGTGCCTTGCCTAGCAAAGCGCTTTCAAAGGATTTGATGGGTGGAAAGCCATCAGTGACACATGTCAAGGTGTTGGCCCACTTAATGCGCGATCAGCAGCCACACAGTCTTTTGGTGATTCGTATCCAAACCGGTAGGCGGCACCAGATCAGGGCACACTTGGCCTTCATAGGGCACCCGGTGGTTTGCGATGCAAAATATGGGAAGCCTGCAGGCAAAGCCACTCAAAGAGACGCACGCAAGATAACAAGCTCGGAGACCTGCATGCAAGGGAGCGACGACTACAAGTCCTTTGATGACAGAGCATGGTGTCCTCGAAATTTCCTTCATCGTTATAGGCTGGAGTATTCAGATGGACTGGGTGTTCGTGAAGTCTTAGCACCACTGCCGGGAGACTTGCAAGGAGCATTGCGGCACCTATCTGTCAGAAAAGACCAGGGACGAAATCGCCGGCGCATGTCGCTTAAGCATCTGCGAGGCTGGCAGACAGGCGAAGCTATGCAGGATTGGGAACAGCTGCCGGCCCTTGACTCCACAGACGCTGCTTGAAAAAGAGTAGTGGTGCGGGTTGGTTGGAGTGTAAACGTTCGTTCGCCTACATAGCGAATGAGAGAGCAATATAGTACAAAAAACACCCAAAATAGCCAGGTGCTGGACATTGAGAGCATGCGGAATGTCATAGGAAAGTTCATCTGGTCCTAAAGCAGACTTTTTTGGGCTCCAGTTGACACTGCGACACTCCACCGCAGGCATGTCATTCTGAACACGTTGCATTTTCCCTTGAGGAGCGAATGCTGGTTGAGACGGACGCACCGTACCTGCCTATCAAAGGCCTGTTTGCTCCGGGCGTTCTCCGTCACGTAGAGCTTAGCTCATGGAATTGCATATGTCAGGCCACTGGCTGAGTCATCCTGGCCTTATTCCGGAAGTAGTAGCCAAAGTCGCTGAGCTCAAAGGCCAGCACAGCCGCTTGTGGGATTGTGCCAGTGCTGCGCAGGCCTTTGCAAATAATGTTTGTGCCATGGAAGGTTTGGATCTTCGAAAGGTTGCGACCGCCTTGCGTGAGAACGCCCATGCCCTCTATGGCATTTGACCAACCCGCGGCGTGTAAAGCAGCTTGTACGTAACAAAAAATTGGTGATGCCTGTGCCATTGCTTATCGCTTGTCACGGACACGTGAGTCTTAGTTGCGTGATGTGGTGTTACCGATCACCAGATCACGAGAAAATTGCTTGGAAAGACACATTAGCCCAGGCAGAGCAAGCGGCAAGAGTAGCATATGGGGCTATGACATGTTTTGAGTCACGCCTGCCACACAAACTTGCTATTGTGCAGCATTCCTTTCGTGAGATGTCGCCGAGCCCAACTGCAATGGAAGCGCATGTGGCCAGTCCCCAGAAGTCCCAAACAGCAGCTCGGCACACCCATGATGTTGGGTATTCCAAGTGGGAGAAGTTTGACGTAGATGCCGCGCTGGCAGAGTTGGACCGCCCACTACCAAAGCAAGAAATGGCAACCGTGGCAAAGCTTCCACCGATCGATCGCAGCTTAGAACCCATGGAGCTCCTGGATGCTGCCATTGCACGACTGCAGGAACCCTCCCAGAACAATCAAGATCAGGCAAGCCTCAGCCCTGCAAGTGACGAAGGTTCAAAATTAGGGCGCCAATGCGCAGAAACAGCTGGCGAAGAAGCTGCAGCTGCAACCTGCCTCACAAGCAACGACACTCAGGAAGCAAAATCTATAGCGGTTGACGTGGCATCGACCACTGCTCACAAGCTTTCCGCTGAATACGAGAAGTGGCAAGGATTTGATGATGAGCTGGAAGAGCTGGACGATGATGAGGGCGCAGATTTCCACATGGACTCCTCCGGTCTTGACTTAAATGCTCTGACAGGACCGGAAGAGGAAGTGAATCAGATCCGTGCCCACTGGAGGCGGGAGGCCAGGAAAATTGCCAAATGCAGCAGATCGTATGGCCGGACGCAACCCTCGCCTGCCGCCTCGTCCCCGTGTGATGAGCGCACTTTGCTGGTGCCGCAGGGTTCTGTGCAGGAGCGTCCGTCTGTTTGCCAGCCCAAAGCAAGCTCCGCAATGGAACAGAGCTATGCCAAATGGAAGAGCTTTGATGCAGATGCCGCTCTTCTGCAGCTGGACAATGAAGATACCGCAGAGGAAGGGAAAACGATGCGGCTTAACGCTGACCAAGGCTCAGCGTTCCTAACCACAGAAGGTTACACCAAGGATCGTGAAGAATATGACTTGGATGAAGATATCCAACGAAATATGGGAAGCTTGAAGCAAATCCTTGCGCAGAACTTCAAAGATGCCTCAGCTTTGAAAATGGAGGGAAACGAGATGCTTCGAGTTGGTCAGGCAAAAGAAGCAATCGACAAGTACGCGCAAGGTATTTCCACGCTACAGCTGGCAGGCCATGCTTCTGTGCTGATGACATCCTCTTTGGCGGAGAAGCAGCGCCTGGTACTAGTTGCAGTTGCTTCGTTTCTTCGTTTCGCCACAGGTTGAGTGGCACAGTGTGTGTAATCTTTGTGTTGGGGTCATAGGTAGAAGCAGAGGCCTTGAGGGGCTCCATGTGCCCTGGGTTCTGCAAGGTCCCGTCTGATGACGGACCTTTATCGCAACCTAGCAGCTGCTCAAATTGCAGTCGGCGACTTTACTTCGGCATTGACAAGTGCGGATGAGGCGCTGCAAGCTGCCCGACAGCACGAATCTTTCTCCAGGAGAGTTCCTTCAGCAAAGCCACAGCTGCTACATGTCCGAACATAACTTGCAGGCAAGCAAGGCAGAAACAAGAAGCTAAGAAGCCCCCACCGTCGTTATCCCATCCTCCGAGAGGACACGCCTCAGAGCTAACTGAGGCTTGCAAAGGCTTGATACTTCTTGATGAGAAAGTCTGAAAGCAGGAATGGCATTGCCTGCCAGGTTGATGGCAAAGATTCCAAAGCACGGTACAGACGCGCAGTGGCCTTGCTTCGCTTGCAACGCCTGGACGAAGCAGCAGATGAGGCAGCAGCATGTTCTTGTGTGGCACCGTTGCAGACAATCCCCACTTGCAAATGCAAATGATGCAAAGGTTAAGAGACTTGAATCTTCCTCTGCGACAGGTGGCTTGCGCTGCAAGCATCTTAGGTTACTATACAGTCTTCATGATAATCCCGCATGCCCGCCCACTTTAACATCTACACAGGCTTCGATCACTCACTTATGGCGTAACATGCTGCGCGTGGAAGCCACCTGCAAACTACACACTGGACCCAAGGTGGTGACTCCGCTGTGCAGAAGCTTCGTCGTGAGATGGAAGAGTCCTATGCATCAAGGCAGTAGCAACGCCGACGGCAAAAAACTCAGAACCTGTCATGTCTCTGCAAATCGTCTGCGCAAAGCATTGGCGCATTACTGCACCAAAACACCTGCAGGAGAATCAGTAGTCAGATGCACACACAACTGTGTGGTACATTGCCTAGCATGCTACATATCGGGAAGTAGTTTGAGCGCGTCGTTGCAGTCAGATCTTTGCAGGTGTCCGCGCAGGTAGAAAAGTAATTGACTTATATTGACCTACGTGCTGACTATATAGGCAGTACGGCAGCTGTACGGCAAGCCTGGCTACGAATATGGACAGGTGCATACTGCATAGCGAGCCTCTGCTAGCAGCTATTAGCAGCCGACGGCGCCATGCTGTTCTGGCTGAGCCTGGCTGTGCTGTGGCAAAATTTCTGGCTGACCTCAGGCCAGCCTGCACCCCTGATGCCCCCTCTTTGGTGTTTAGCCAATTTGCCAGTTTTAGGGCCGATTTGCGTTTTGCGTTGAGCTGTTTACGGTGCCAGCATCCCTTTGCAGGTGACAAGTGCAACTGCAGCAAATCTGGACTCAAATGCTTTTTTGACGAGACCTGCCCTGGAATTGGTTGTGGGGCCGAAGGACAGCCTAAATGCCGTTTCTGCGGCTCTGGCGAGTTCCAAGACTGCCCAACGCACGTGCCAAAGACCTTGCGGAAGAAAGAGGATCACCCCGAGAAGCAAACCAGCAAATCGGTGGTGACCAGCAAGCATTCCAGTGAAATAATCTTTGGGGGCGAACCTGCAGCGGAGGCGAGCGTAGGTTTGGTCCTCAGTTACGGGCCGTAGCGACTGAGCAAACCTCATGCAGGTGAGAGCACTCACGGCAATGTGTTCTGCCTGGCCAAGGTCAAAAACCCAAGTGCCCATGCGAGTCCTCGAAAACGCAGAGATGCTTCTATGATGCTTCTTGCCCTGGACTTGGCTGTGGAGCCCTTGGCCATGACCACTGCCGGGGCCCAAGTGCAAGAGTCAGCTGTTCTCGTCTGACGTCCTTTGATCGTTTCAGGCCGCTTCTGCGGTGGGAACTTCCATGCTTGCCCTTCAGAAGAAGAGATGAAGCTGGCAGCTGTTCAAAAGCCAAAGACGGAGACTTCTGCACACGGGCGCCCTGCAGCCACACTGGCGCCAGCCGCTCAGCCCAAACCTGCACAGCTGAAGGTCTCCCAGGCGCTGCTCGACTCGCCGATGTCCTTTGACGTGTACCGCTGTATGGCCGCAGCTGCAGTTGACACACATCCAATGGAAGATGATGACATTGCGGATCTTGCCGGTGCTATTAAGTACGTGCACACGGAGATCCTCACTGAGCATCTACAGAGCCCGATAAGAACGGGAAGAAAGTACCACGTTGATGCGATCACAGCCCACCGTTTCAGGATCAAGAACCCCAGGACAATTCTGCATCAAGCAGATGCTTTACAAGGAGAATTTGGCGCTTTTGTGACCTACGACTGGGGACAGGCAACAAACCCGGCTCAGCTGCCAATGATTGCGAACAAGGCTTGGCAGACGAGTCAGCCTGGAGTCATCCTCTTTCAGCTTGTCTAGATGTTGCAGCATTTCGGAGTAGAATTGACTTGTCTATTTTATCTTCTTACAAGTGATGCCCGGCCCATCGTGTCCCGTTCAGGGCAAACTACGGACTTAAAAGCTGTACACTACTAGCCGCTAGCCTTTCTCAAGAAGTGTCTGCTTTTGATTACACTCCCATGCAGGGGAACTTTGTTGGCATCGCACCCTGCACAGCAACCCAGCCAGCAGTGCAAGTGCTCGAGTTTGATCCGCATGTACATCCTGCAGCTAAGAACTTGCATTGTGACGTGCGCTTTCCGCGCCACATGCCCTACTCATGGCTGTCGCTCGGCATCTCGCACGCAACGCGGTTCCCAGACGTTTCCAGCATAGTCGATGCTTTGATCAACGCATGTCACATGCCGCGTAGTCCAAGGCAACTTCTGCCCCAATTTGAGCTGGGACAAGTTCCTTGACACCAACTCTTTAGACCAAGCCTGCCAGCTGTTTCGTTGCCGGCACTCAGCAAGAGTGAGCCGCATGCAAGGAAAGGATCCAAGCAGGATCCTAGCCCACACTGTCTCAAGTCAACGGCGGAGAAAACAATCATCGAAGGCAGGGCGGATCGGCCCCAAGCCCAAGTCGTGACGATGTTGTTCTTCCATGTCGGGCTGCTGGTTCGTGACCCGTGATAAGTGCAGGGGGACTTTGCAAAAATGGCTTCGCGGCACAGAGCACCACACCAGGTGGCTGCAAGCAGGTTGACGTTTGTGATGGTAGACGTTTCGCCTGGCTGCAGTGCATGAGCCATCTGCGAAAGAGCACGGGAGAGTTGCAGCCATGAGCCAGGCTCGGACCCGACAGGAGAGCAAAACTGCGTGTATACGTACGGCAAGGCAAAGGTTGTGAAGTGGGACGACATAGCAGCCTGGCTGGATGTTTGATTATTGCTATTTGTGCGTGGGAAGGCCCTGTGAACATCTTCAGCTGGGCCTGTTGCAGGTGGGCATTACGCAGGAGGACTGCGGCAAGCACAAATGCCAAAACTGGCTTGATTTCCGCATGAACTGCACCAACAGACACTTGACACAATTCACAACTAGAGAATAGGTTTGGCACACAGTGATTCCAGGGTATCTGCAAGATTCCGCCAGATTAAGCTCGTCAGCACTTGCAATTTCTTTCCAGCTTTGCGGGGGAGGTATGGTGGGGCTTAGGGGCAAAGCAACGGAGGCTCTTGATTCTCTAAGCAATGCAACGATGGCTGCTTGCGCCATGCCGCGCCAAGGCCACTACAAGCGCCAGTTCACTTTAGATGGCAATATCAAAGCCGTGGATTACTGTGCCTGGAGCCGGATGAGCGCTGTGCGGCATGCAATGCTTCTGACCTGGACCAATAGTGGCAGGTTACAGCTCGTTTGCTCAGGCGTTGAGTTCGATATCCATCCGGCCTGCGAAGCAAACTGCGAGGCTCCGCGCTAAGACTATTTGCGAAGTTTGCAAGCTTTGCTGGCACGGCTTGAATGGCAACACCTAGGTTGACCAGTGCAAGAAGTTCTTGGCAAGCGGCAAAGAGGCATACCTTGGAGACTTGTCAAATGCTTGGAAATAATCCCACTATGGCCCAGCGTGCTGTAGCATGCAAAAGTTGCCAAAATCTGACTCCTTGCGTCTTAGGATTACCCTTCTGGCGTGATCGCTGTGATGCACGAGCCAACGAGCGACGCATTGAGATGGTGAGCGACATACTGCTCGTTTAGCATTACAGTAATCTGAGTAATCTGTAATCTCGTGCCATATTAATATAGTAATATAGTACGCTGACTTCAATGCTCTCCTGTGGTTGGCAGGTTGCCTACTCCCTGGGGGTGCCTGGCGCTTTGCAGAACCACAGGCTGGTCGAGTCAGAGGTTCTCGACAGGCCTTGCCCTCTGTCGAAGCCTGGCAATGCCTTAAGCGAAAGCGCCTCTGAGCTTGGCCCAGAGGCCACGCGTTGTGTTTGCAATTATGCCGCGGCCATTGGCTGTGAACAAAAAACGCTGAGTTTCTAACAGGCTTGGGCGGCGATTCCGCGACATAATGAGGCAGAATATCCTGGCTTGCGACAAGCACTCTTGCGACAAGCCTTTTGCCTGGGGCATGCCCGTACCGAGCACTTGCGACAGAGGTATGTAACAACAGGCCGCGACAAAGGGGTATGTAACAAGGGGTTGGTGGGGGCGACAAAACCGGATTTGATCCAGAGCCCAACTGCCTGAGGAAGGGAACGAGTTGGACATGTGAACCCATCGATGGCCACGGACCATACTGCTGCTTGGCTTGCAGCACGCGAGGCAGCAGCACGGCTTGCGCGTTGTGAACAATCCGGGCAGGCACACGAAGCTACAACGGAGCTTGTGACCATTGCTTTATTCCAGGCAGGTGTAATTGATCAGCATGATTGTGCCAGCTTTTGCGAGGGAACACCTAGACCTAAGAGCCGAGGTGTCCTGAATGGAGCGGCGGCAAAGCCCTGGTGCCCACTAGACATTCTCAGCACGCCGACTTATGCAGAATCTGGACTGCGTCCAGTTGACACTTCCCGCGGGCCTCTGTGTATGTTTGGATCAGTGTTCTACTTGCAACCCTTTTTCAGCGCAGACTGTTGCGACAATCCGTAGCTTCGTGCGTATGTGTCATGCTGAGGACATGCCAAAGCATCTTGACTGCTTGATAGTTCCAAGAGCTCCAGAAATCTCGTCAGTTCTTCGGCCGAGGCCCCGCTGCAAGAGTCGTGCTGCATCGGACGGCTGTTGCCTGTATGCTGGCACCTGTGGGAAGCTCAATGCTGAAACGTGTAGATGATTTGGCTTGGGCCCACTGGAGTCCTGGACGTTTGCAGCAAGAGCCTCCTCGTCTAAACAAAATCCTGCGCATCTCTGTCGAAGAATCGCTTGGGCTGAGGCGAGGGCACGTCCGATCCTGCCCGTGCTGCGCTGACTGATGATGGCATGGCATTGGTGGCTTCACGGCCTGGGCCCATGATGACTTTGTTGAAGAGAAGCTTCAGCTACTGCGTATTGAACCTCTGAAAGCAGGAGGAGCACTCACGACATGGAGTTCTTTTTAAGACGCCCACGGCTTAGCTATAGCTCAGCATGGAGCTGTCGTTGAGGCTTTCTATCAGAAGCCTTGCCAGGTGCTGCCGCTGAGGACAAGCGCTTTTCAGCTGTGAGCCTGTCAGGAGCCAACATGCCACTCAGCGAACCCTTGGCGCTCGCTTGACGTCGTCTCTGCTTAGCGAAGACGGGGTGTCGCATTGTAAGGAAGTGGGCAGCGTATTTCGCTTGGAGCATGGCGCCTGTGGACAGGACTCTCGATGAGGCATTGTGGGTTTAGTGACGGAGCACGGACCTGCCTGGCAATCAATGAACCTGAGGCTTTAGATGAGTTGAAGATGTTCCTTGCGTCTGAGACGCCCATGATCACCCAGTATGTCCTCCGTCAGGGAGAACGCAGCATTTCAGTTGGCGCTGCAGGCGTGTTGATACTGCCTCAGCCTCAGGCAACAACTACGACTACAACCGCTGTCATCACAGTGCCGGTGGGACATGCAGGGCATCCCAAGCCACCATCTGCGCTGAAGTGCGCTGAGCAGCAGGTGCCTTCCAAAAGTCTACTACGATGCCTAGAGATGTTGCTTTGATGCGCGGACAGAGTGAGGTCTCCTTTATGCCGCTTGACATGCCTGAAGCACCCATGACGCTGTCCACCTTGGCAGCCTGCCAGAAGAGGTGTGCTGAGCAACCGGGCTGTTGCTTGGCCATGTTTGTGGTTCGGCTGATGGTCATGGCAGATGTGGTGATGCCATGCAGTAGCTGCTCAGTAGTGCCTGTGCAGAGCGACATTTGAGGCTTCCACTTCTCATTCTTGGATGGTGGCTTGGCGCAGGGCAGTTGTCATCTGGCTGGCTTTTCCGCTTTTGCAGAGGTGCCTGCGTTGCAGTGGGAACTGCCCTGGTTCAAACTGCTCGGGGTCATCTTTTTCCGGAAAGTACTGTTCAGCTCTGGCTCCTGTAAGTCGTCACCGTTTGTTGCTGTGGTAGTATTGTAGCATCAGCATGCACTAGTAGCAGCAGTGGGAGCATCGGAAGGAGGAGGAGTAGCCGGAGTAGTAGCAGTGGTCAGAGCATCAGTAGGAGCAGCAGCAGTAGGAGGAGAAGAACTAAACTAAGGAGAAAGTAAGGAGTAACATCAGCAGCAGCAGCGGAGGGACGGGGTGATTCTTCAAATTACACTGCTTCCCCTGTGCACATTTGTTTAAGTACAGGGCATTTTGATGTCGGCATTTTTCGCTTTGTGTGCAAGTTTCAGTAGCCAGAGGGCCTGATTTGCTTGGTAGTGTCATGTTGTTGTGTGAGCATAGCCTGCAGCATCCTCTAGGTCTGAGGGCTAGGCTTGAGGCTCAACTTCAAGGGAGAGACCCAAACGGAGGGTAAAGGTAAGCCTACGCACCAAAAAGGCTCCGAAGGAGCAGGACGTGGAGCATTTCAAACTGATGACTGGAACTTCTATCCTCCACAGAGAGGTGCTAACCTCATGTCTGTCGGTTGGGCCGTGTCGGTTGCGTGGGTTGTGTCGGCCGTGTTGAGTCGAGTGGTGTCTCTCGCTTTGGTCGTGTTGGTCGGCTTCGATGTTTCGCTCGCGCGGGGCCTGTTGGTCGGGTTGGTATGGGTTGGTCATGTTGGTTGTGGTGGAATTGGTCAGTTGTGCCGGTCAGATAATCAGCTGACAGGCTGAAAGGCTGACCGGGCGACTGGCTGATTGGGTGCCTAAAAGTGCCTGATGAGCTGGGCGTGCCCCATTCTTCCAAGCTTGGCCCGGCATGGTACAGTCCAGGGATCGTTCCCGTGAGTTCAAGCTTCGCCCCATGAGTCCAAGGTTGTGAGGAGTTTCATTTCTACAGCTCCCCCATTGATATTCGTGTCGAATGTTAGTGTGAGTGTCTAAATGTTTTTGTATGTGGAGCGAAGCTCATTTGAGCTCAAGCTTATGTCCTGCAATAAGTGCCGCCAGGGCCTGCGCTCTCCTGGCGACACTTGGTGTTTGGGGTGCCGGGCTCTTGAAATGGCACAGCTCGAACTCGGGCGGCGTTGGCCCGACCAAGGTGCCCGGAGCCTGGCTGAGGAAATCTTGTTGAGTGCCACCCGGCACGTGAAAAGGCTGGGTGAGCTTGGACCTGGGCTGATTACTGAGCAAGCTCGGTACCAGCTCGACTTTGAGCCGGGAGCGGCCAGGAACCCCACGGCTGCTGCCCCTCCTGCCCGTGCTGATCCTCCGGGACCGGCTGGGGAGGTAGGGCGGCGCGCCGAGGCGGTTGCAGGCCCAACTCCTGGTCCGGCGGCGCCTGCTGCTGCGCCGGTGGTGGAGCCTGGAGCTGGTGTTCGTGAACCTGGGCCCGCTCTGGAGGAGGACGAATACACCTACGAGTCGTTCTCTGAGGAGGTTAAGGCTGAGGATCCTGGGCCCGATCTGGGCACGGCTGCCAAGAGTTCGGCCCCTCCTCCGGAACCAGTGGTTCGAGCTCCCGATTTGGTATTGAGGGAGGCGCCCCGGAAGCGTGAGCTGGAGGTGGAAGAGCTGCGTGGGGCTGGCTCTTCGAAGAAGAAGAATAAGAAAAAAGAAGGACAAGCGCCACCGAAGCGGGCGCAAGCACCAAAGGATGACTCAGAAGCCCGAGGGGGCGCTGAGCCACCGAAGGCTGTCCCAGGAAGATTTGGACTTCCCGAAGAGACAGCACTGGAGGGATCGGCTGGCGTGATGTCAGGGGAAAGCGCCCCGTATGGCGAAGAGGCTGGCGAGGGAGAGAGAGAAGAGGAGGCTGGGGAGGAAGGAGATGTGGCGAGCCTCGGCCTGCCCTACTCGTGGGAAAGCCCCGGTTCCTGGGCCTCGCTGGAGCTCCAGGAAGGGGCGGTGATAGAAGCCTTGCTGGAGCCCTTGCCATGGAGCCCCTCGTCCGATTGCGGTTTTGGGATCTCTGCCAGGCTGGGCGAAAGGCTCTACACTGCGCAATATCTGGGGACCAACGACCGAGAACCCCCGAAGCGGCGTCGCCGGCTCTTCAATGTACGAGGAGGCCGAGTTCACCTATGCCTCACTGGGCGGAGACTTTGCGAGGTTCACTGGGAGGAAGGGGTGGTGCGCGTGGACGAGCTGGTACTGTACCCCCCGCTGTCCTACAAGGGGGCCCTTTGCACGGTTCATGGGCTGCGGGCTCTGAAGGCGTTGAACGCAGCTTTCACTGCCAAGCTGGGGGCCAGCGAGGAACCGGCGGGAAAGGCCCCAGCAAGCCCGCGGCTTGGATTTCTTCGGAGGCCTGGAGGATTTGAAGAACCGGGCTGGGCTGGGACTGCCCAGACCATGCCGGGATCTATCCTCCGGGCGGGGCGCTTCAGGCAAGCAAAGGAGCGATTGGAGGCAGAGAAGGAGCCGCCGCCCTTACGGATGGAGCGTCTCTCCAAAAGTGGCACTAAAAACGTTCCAGGACGCGCGTGGCGCCGTTCAAAAAAACCCCATGCAAGCCAAGCACCCAGCGAACCAAAGGAGCTGACACCCTGGCCAGCCGCCTGCTTCCTCACCCGCCGGCGCGCGAGCCCCGCCCAGGACCCCGGCACGGGCTCACAGCCCACAGATCGAGGCGCGGCAGCGGCCGGAGGGACCTTTCTCCTTCTCGGTCTCCTTCTCCTTCTCGGGAGCTTTCCACCAGCTCTTCCCTTTCTTTCGCCCCGGCGGGCACTTGTTGTGAAGTCCGAGGTGGTGGACCTGGACAGTCTGTCCAAGCCCGGGAGGACCTCGGAGAAGGCGACTTTTGGAGACAGGATCGTGGCCCGGAACCTGGAGCGGAAGCGATCTGGATCCGAGGAGACTCTTCGGAGGAAGAAGAAAAAGGGAAAGAAGAAGAAGAAAAAGAAAAAGAAAAGACAGGGAGGAAGCGACGGAGAGTCGCTGCTCAAGCCGATCCTCAAGGACGAGCAGCACGAGCTCGGACGAACGGGAGTTGGTCCCCCCGATCCGCAAGAAGGCGGAGAAGAGGCCGGGGGCGGTCATGGAGGAGCTCCTGGCCCACGCGAGGGGGCTGCTCTCCGAGCGGGAGGAAGGGCGAGGGGCCGCGAGCTCGAAGCAGGAAGGAGAGGTGAAGCTGACTCTATTCTTCCAGCTGTTTTGGAAGGAGAAGTTCGCCAGCAGACCTCGAGACCTTCACGAGTTGTATTTGCTGGTCCGCTGCTCAGACTTACTGCAGCAAGGAAGGATCAGCGAAGTGGCCGATGCTCTCGCGCGGCGCATCATGGCCTTAGAGGTCTCTGCCTCCAGCGGAAGCTGGAGTACTGCGAAGTTTCTGGAAGTGGAAACGTTGGACTCCGGCAACCTCGCTCGCCCAGAAACGCTTCTTGCTGCTCAAAAACATGCCCGTCTCGTTGCCAAATCCGAGCAGGGCTGGACTTCGTGGAGCGGCAAAGGCAAGGGGTACGAGGGCCAAGAGTCCTGGGCGACCCCGTGGAAAGGAAAAGGAAAAACAAAAGGAAGGCGCAGTCCTCAGGAGTGGTCCTGAAGGCACAGATCACTTCTGCCCCAGCAGGTCGGGCCCAGCTGTACAGTTTGGCGCTTGAAGGGTCTTGAGTGGAAAGCAGTTGTACTTGACGCCGAGCTTGTGCAGGATGCTTGGTTTTTCTGTACAGTTTGTGCCACTAACTGGCTTGGGGGCTACGGAGCCTTCCCCACGTCGCCGTGCCCTGTGAGCAAGGCTGGTGGCAGTTGTGAGGTAGAAAGGCTCCTTAGGTCTGAGGTTCAGTCCTTTGTGTTAAGAGACGCTGATTTTTGTGGTAAGCTTCTACCCTCGGATGTGATGCATGAGGTTGACGCTGCGGTACTTAATTATTCTGGTGAAGAAGTTCTGCCGATGAGGCCGCTGACAGTGGATCAGATGGAGCCGGGGCTGCCTCCGGTCGGTGCAGGTGGCCGAGTCTCGGCTTATGATCTAGTTGATCCCGGAACCAAGCTGTTTCTTGCGGACCCCACTCTTTCCTTCTTGCCGGTTGAAAAGGTAGAGGAAGGGCCGTGCCAAGCTGCAGTTCATGTAGAGGCTGGGGCTTCCTCTGCGGTGGCTAGGCTTTTGGTTTCTAGGGGGGTTTGTAAACCAATCCGCAGGTGTGATGTCGGACGGTTCGAGGGTAAGGCCATTTTGAACGGGTTATTTGGCGTGCCGAAACCAAAGTACCTTAAAGATGGCAGGCCCATCCTCCGGACTATTATCAACTTGATTCCAAGCAACCGGATTCAAAGGGTCATCGGTGGCCACATCAATTGCCTTCCCTCGATCACGAAATGGCAATCGATCATCTTGGGTGATGGCGAGAATTTGCTTGCGTACCAGTGCGACATGGCTTGTGCGTTCTATTTGTTCGCTTTGCCTGATATCTGGCTTCCGTGGTTCTGTCTCAACTTTGACCTGTCTGGACGAGACTTGGGACTTCCTTCTGATGAGCGATACACCATTGCATGTTGCACTTTGCTCATGGGCTGGAAATCTGCTGTGGGCATCATGCAGTGCCTCAGTCGTAGGGTCCTGCTGGAATCCCGGCTGCCGGACTCTCATGAAGTGAGGAAAGATCGTATGGGCCCTAATTGGCTTGCCCACTGCTGGCGTCAAGGAGGCGAGCATGGTTGGTGGCAAGTATATCTTGACAACTTCATTTCCTGTGAGGTTGTTGGGCCCCGACACACGCCCGGTGATGGGAAACGCTTCTTTGAGGATGCACATGCTGGATGGCAAAGTTTCGGCATCCTCTGCGCGGTAGACAAAGATGTTGAGGCCGCTGGGGTTGCCCATGAATTGGGAGCTGAAATTGATGGAGAGTTGGGCAGACTCCTTGGTGGAACCACCCGCTTGTGGAAAACAGCGGTTGGTTCAATTGCGGTGGCCCTACTTTCAAAGAATGTGACTCCTAAACGGATTCAGGTCCTCGGTGGACGATGGGCGTTTCTGGCCCAGTTTCGCAGACCACTGTTTGCGGTCTTCAGTGACCTGTGGCGGGCTGCTGTGCCTGGCTGCTCCCTGGCTGCCCGGCGGCGTGCCGGGGTGGAGCTGGTCATGGCTGTGATGTTGTGTCCCTTGACAAGCTGCAATCTCAGAAAAGCCTTACATGCTGAGGTTGTGGCTACCGATGCCTCAGAACGCGGTGGCGCTGTTTGCGTGTCCAAGGGGCTGACCTGGTCTGGTAAGTCCTACAGCTCGCTACTTCAAGCAAGGAGTTCCCCCCTTGAACCCAACTTCTTGGTGATTTCCCTTTTTAATGGCATTGGTGGGGCCTTCAGGGCATACGACCTGCTGGGCATCCATCCTTTGGGGTTGGTGGCAGCCGAATGCCACAAGCCGGCAAACAGGGTAACTCTTCGTGCCTGGCCTCGTTGCCTTGTCGTGGACGATGTTAACTTGGTGGATAAGGCTATGGTCCTTAGTTGGCTCATGCTTTACCCAATGGTCAATGAAGTTCATGTGTGGGGGGGTTTCCCTTGTGTCCATCTTTCATCTGCTCGTGCAGGGCGGAAAAACCTGGAAGGACCAGGGTCGAACCTGTTCTGGAAGCTGGTCGAGATTATCCAAATTGTTCAAGAAGTCTTTGCACCTGTGGCTTCAGTCAAGTGGGTTGTTGAGAACGTCGCCTCTATGGACCCTGATGCGCGGGATGAGATAAGTTCTTGAGGTCCTGCCTCTCAGGCTGGACCCGGCTGATGTGCTTCCGTACTCACGTCCAAGATTCGCTTGGATTTCTGAGGAGCCTTCCCGTACTGAGGGGTGCGAGTTGGTACAGAGAAAAGGCTTTGTGGAAGTTACCATGACTGCCACGGGGGTTGCGGAAGCTCAATGGATTCAACCTGGCTGGAGCAGGGTGACCCCTCGTGTCCGTTGCCAACCTTCATGAAATCCATTACGCGTGAGCAACCCCCTCCTGTTCCTGCTGGGCTCCGGCGAACCCCTTGAAATGCCCAAGGCCGGTGGGCGGATGATGAATTTCGCTTCCCACCATACCAATATAAGGAACAGTTCATGCTGACAGATGGTGCTGTGCTCCGCTATGCTAATTCAGGCGAGCGAGAAATCCTGATGGGATTTGGGGCCCAGCATACACGGTTCTGTTTTCCGAGATCAAGAAGAGCCCCGTTCGCTATGAAGATGAGCGGCTGAGTCTGATAGGCGACAGTTTCTGCATGCTCTCGTTCGGATGGGTTGCTGGCCAGTTGTGCCGTGCAGCCCGAACACCTCTGCCCCAATGGGAAGATGGAAGCACTATGGGTTTGAAGGCAAGGATGACTCCCCACACGATGCTGAGTTCCTTGTCAATAAGCTGGCGTTAGGAGCTAACCACACTGGATCTGATGTTCGGATCACCACAGGAGAGTTAATGACGCCGCCCAAGTCCGTGAGGCAAAGCACTGAGGCCATCTGGTGGAGCTGGAAGCAAGTCTTCTCAAAAAAGTGGCAGTTCCAGCACCACATCAATGCCCTTGAGATGCCTGCCCTTCTTCTTGGCCTTCAGTGGCGTTCGCAGAGGCCGGGTCACTTGGGTAAGAAAGTTGTTCACCTGGTGGATAGTTTCGTCACCTTAGGGATTGTCTGCAAGGGGCGCACCAGTTCCCTCATGCTCCGATCGCTTTCTCGGCAAATTGCTGCTCATGTTTTAGCCATGGGGATTACTCTTATTCTGGCTCATGTGGATAGCACCGAAAATCCTGCGGATGAGGGTAGTCGTGAGTGATGGCAAAACTTTACAGCAATGCTGATCGTGCTGCTGCGCGACGAGGAGTCAGCTTATGGAATGCGACCATAAAACTGGCTACCCTTCTT